TCCTAGGGGAGGGAGGGGCATACTTCATTAACAGGGGTACCTGCATGATCAATGTTTGTATACCTAACCCTGAATTGTACCCCACATCTTTACAATAAAAATTTTTTAAGTTAAAAAAATAAAATAAAATAAAAATAAAGTGGAAATTTTAAAAACTGTAATATTTAAATTTTCCCAGACTTGATCATCTTTTGGGTGAACACAATAGAATGGATGATGGTGTCACTAAATTGGGGAATTAAAAAAAAGAACAGATTCAGAATAAAAGACAAAAGTTTAAACTTGGACTTATGGAGTTACGCATACAGGGCTGTAGGTCAAAATAGAGTTCAAAGTCAGAAATAGAAATAGAGGACCTATGTTCTCAAAAGTAAATGCAGCCAAAGATAAAGCAAAGGTGGGATTTTATCAAACTAAAAAGTTTTTGCACAGCAAAAGAAACCATGAAGAGAGTAAAGAGGCAACCCACAGAATGGGAAAAAAAATATTTCCAAGGTAGACATCTGACAAAGTTCTAGCATTCAGAATTTACAAGGAGCAAAATGACAGGAAAAAAAAGTAACCCCATTAAAAAGCAGGAAAAACATATGAACAGACACTTCTCAAAGGAAGACATTCAAGCAGCCAAAAGACATATGAAAAAATGTTCAGGTCCATGAATTATCAGAGAAATGCAAATCAAAACTACAACGAGATGACATCTAACTGTGGTCAGAATGACAAGCTTTTAAAAGTCACAACAAAAAGGATGTTGGTGAGGCTGAGGAGAAAAGGGGATGCTTCTACATCGTTGGTGGATAGTAAACTATTACAACCACTGTGAAAAGCTGTGTGGCTGGCATTTTCTCCAAAAACTAAAAATAGAGCTTCTATGTGATCCAGCAATGAAACCTCTTGAAATATACCCAGAAAAACATAAGTCACTCTACCAAAATGACACCTGTGTTCATGGCAGCACTATCCCCAATAGCAAAAACATGAAGCCAACCCAGATGCCCCTCAAAAGTGAACTAGATAAAGAAAATGTGGTACGTATATACAGGGGAATATAGTGCAACTGTAAACAAGAACAGAATAATGTTCCTTGCAACAACATGGGTGCAACTCGTAGACTATCACACTAAGTGAACTATCACAGAAACAAAGAACTGAATATCATATGTTCTCTCTCATAAGAAGGCCTTGATCACTCTTCACATGAGCACGATGGTGGGAACAACAGATGCTGGGCACTGCTAAAAGAGGGAGGAAGGGAGGAGGGAGCACACAGCAACACATTACACACCAGGTCCACTATCAGGGGGAGAGAGGGCTTACTAGAAGCCCAAACCTCACCTACATGCAATTTACTTATGTAGCAAATCTTCACATGCACCCTACAACTCAAATAAAAGAAAGAAATAGAAGGTCTGTGGCATAGGGTTGGTGAGAGGTTTTTCCCTGCCTTGTTAATTTAAGAAAGAGGATGCCGGGCTCGGTGGCTCAGCCTGTAATCCCATGCCTTTGGGAGGCTGAGGTGAGTGGATTGCCTGAGCCCGCAGGTTCGAGAACCGCCTGGGCAGCGAGACCTCATCTCTAAAATAAATCAAAAAATCAGCCGGGCATGATAGCGCATGCCTGTAATTCCGGCCACTTGGAAGGCTGAGGCAGAAGGATCACCGGAGCCCAGCAGGTTGAGGCTCCGGTGGCTGGGAGCGGCCACTGCACTCCAGTCTGGGTGACAGAGTGAGACTCCAACTCAAAAAAAAAAAAAAACGAAAGAGGACAATGTGTTGAGAAGCAAAGAGAGGTTAAGAAGGAGAAATTCAGGCTGGACTCAGTGGCTCAGCCTTGTAATTCCAGCATTTTGGAAAGCTGAGGCAAGTGGATTGCCTGAGACCACAGGTTTGAGAGCAGCCAGGGAAACTTGGTGAGACCTTGTCTCTACAATAAGTAAAAAATTAGCCTGGCATTGTACTGCACACCTGTAGTTCCAGTTACTTGGAAGGTTAAGGTGGAAGGATTGCCAAAGCTCAGTATGGTGATGCTGGGGAGGCCATGATTGTGCCACTGCACTCCAACCTGGGCAATAAAGTGAGACTCCAACTCAAAAAAAAGAGATTTGGATATGAACCAAAATTACAGTAACTGGGAAGGGGCATTTGTTCTCAAACAGGTTTTTTTTAATTGTATATATTTAAGTTATACAACATATAAGATTAAAGTTACTACAGTCAGAAAATTAACATAATCTTTCCCTCTCATATGACCACTTATAGTAGGTATAATTAGAACACCGAAATCTACTCTATTAGTAAATTTCCAGTGTACCATATAGTTTTATTAATGATAATCATCATGCTGTACCTTAGCTCTCTAGACTTATTCATTCTACATTCTATATTAAATATAAATACAATCTTTGCATTATACAAATGTACATCTCTCCATTTCTCTCACGTCCCCATTTGTGGTATCCACCATTCTTTTCTCTACTTCTATGTTTTCAACTTTTTTAGATTCCACATATAAGTGAGATGGTGCAGTATTTGTTCTTCTGTGTCTAGCTTATTTCACTTAGCATAATGCTCTTCCATGCTTTTACAAATAGGATCAAGTAAGGATTTTTAACATATGAAGGAATTTAAAGTCTCTCTGGACTTTATGCAATATCATAGAACAGAAAGTCTATGGCTCCATTCTTCTTCACAGGAAGTTCCACTGATATCTATCCAGAGACCAGACATCTTTTTGTAAATTCCAGTACTTGGAAACAAGCCTGACACCAGCACGTGGTCTGCATAACTAAATGAAAATTTAATTAGAAGGGTAATATCAGTCTCACTTTGTGCTGCACCTCCTCTCCCAAGTTGGCACAATGACAGATGGAGAGGATTCTTCTGGGTCCACAGTTTCTACAGGGGAAAAAAAGCAGAGACAGTCATCCAGAATCCCCAGCATTCTTAGAAACATCACAGGAAGTCAACTCCTGTCTCACTTCAAGAGAAATACTGAAGATAACAACACAGCTAGATTGCTCATGGTAAAGTAAAAAATAAAACAGCAACAAAAATGTGGCAGAGATCATAATGACCAGTGTGCAGATTTTGGTGTTACCTCTGTGTTCCTGCCAGCTGTGGCTTCTGAGCAAAGATATAAGCCAACTTTGTAGCCCACTCGCAAAACTGACCTAGTCACCTTTAAAAGCACAGTGGGAAGTTTAACCCATCTTGAATTCCTAGACAGTCTCCCTGCATTGACTCTGAGTGTGCAGACATTGGTGTTACCTCTGAATTCCTTACAGCTGTGGTACCTGAGTGGAGATATAAGAAAACTTTATAGCCAAGTCACAAAGCTGACCTGGTCATTTTTAGAAGCACAGCTTTAGTTCCTAGACAACTTCCCTGCATTGCCTCAGATATCACCTCAATCGCCACCATGCAGGCAGAGAGACACCCAACTCCACTTACTCAGAGAAGCATAAGGTTAGGCCTGCTTGACCAAAGAAGTCAATTCGCAGCTCCTCAAAACCCAAAAGTCCAGACATTGACCTCATCTAGGCATGAAGACTCCCACTTGGGTGCATTTTGGAGATAAGAGGACAAACCTGTATGACCAGGAACTCGAACACCCATTCAACTCACACAAAAGACTTCCCCACAGATACACCCTGAAACATAGTTAGTCTTCATTTATGCACGTCTGAGGAGCATAGCCTCTGGTCCTGCCCATCCAGAGCAGTGACTCTGGCCAACCTTGGGGCCTAGACTGCAGCCTTACCTATTGCAGATCCTAAATTGCAGAACTTCCCTGCCAGAAAATACATCCTGTTACCAGCCAGAACAGACGCCATCACAGTACCTAACCATCAGCTCCTCCTGATAGGAGAGTCCAGACTGTGGTACTGCTGGACAGTGTAACCTAGCCAACAGCCCAGTTGACATCAAAACAAAAGCCACCTAGTTAAATAGATACCCCACAAATCTCTGCCTGCCCAGGGTTGTCATCAACTAGCCATTCCAGAACCACACTTAAACAGTCAAGGCCTAACCCTACCAAAGAACATCTGTAACAGCCAGAAAAGGGTCTGTCTCCTCAAGTGGATAGACAACAATTCAAGGACACAAAGATTATGAAGAATAAGGGAAACATAACATGTCCAAAAGAAACTAATAGAGCTCCTATCATGGGACCTAAAGAAATAGAGATCTATCAAATGACTGACCCCCCCCCAAAAAAAAACTCCTTAAAGAAGTTCAGTATGTATAAGAGCAAATAGACTAAAAAACTAAACCAAAATTGGGAAATAATACATAAACAAATGAGAAGTTTGACAAAAAAGAGACAATTAAATGAAAAACAAATAGAAATCCTAGAGATAAAGAATACAGGCATAACTTGAAGATATTGCAGGTTAGGTTCCAGATGACCACAGTAAAGTAAATCATACAATTATTTTAGTTTTGCAATGTATGTATAATTTATGTTTATACTATAGTCTATTGTGCTATATAGTATTCTTTTAAGAAAAGTGCATACGTTATTTAAAATTACTTTATTGCTTTAAAATGGTAGTGGTCATTGCCTCAGTGTTGATAGATTCTGATTGATCAAGGTGGTGGTTGCTGTAGTCTGGGTGGCAATTTCTTAAAATATAACAACAACAAAGTTTGTCTTATCAGTTGTCTCTTCTTTTCGCAGAAGATTTCCCCATAGCATTCAATGCTATTTCATATCATTTTACTCACAGTAGAACTTCTTTAAAAACTGGAGTCAATCCTCTCAAACTCTGGTGCTGCTTTATTAACTAAGTTTATGGAGTATTCTAAAGACTTTGTTGACATTTCAATAATATTCACAGCATCTTCACCAGGAGTAGATTACATCTCAAAAAACAAATTTATTTGCTTATGCATAAGAAGCAACACATCATACATCCAAGTTTGTTCATGAGATTGCAGTAATTCAGGCACATCTTAAGGCTCTACTTCTAGGTAATTCTAATTTTCTTGCTATTTCCACCACATCTGCAGCTACTTCCTCCACTGGTCTTCCTCTATGGAATTCCTCAAAGTCATTCATGATGGTTGAAATCAACTTCTTCCAAACTCCTGGTAATGTTGATATTTGGACCATATTTCTTGAATCACAAATGCTCTTCATGTCATCTAGTATGGTGAATACTTTCCAGAAGATTTTCAATTTACTTTGATCTAACAGAGGAATCACTATCTATGGCAGTTATAGCCTTATAAAATGTATTCTTCCAATCATAAAACTTGGAAGTTGAAATTATTCCTCAATTCATGGGCTCCAGAATAAATGTTGCATTAGCATGCATGAAAGCAACATTCATCTCCTTGGACAACTCCATCATAGCTCTTGAGTGACCAGGTGCATTGTCAATGAGCAGTAATATTTTGAAAAGAATTTTTTTTTCTGAACAACAGGTTTCAACAGTAGACTGAAAATATTGAGTAAACAATAATGTAAGCAGATATGCTGTTATTCAGTATTTGTTCTGTTTAGAAAACAGAGTCTATTTATTATAATTCTTAAAGACCCTAGGATTTTCAAACTGGTGATTGAGTAACTTAAAATCACCAGCTGCATTAGTCCCTAATATGAGAGTCAGCTTGTCTTTGGAGTTTTGAAGCCAGGCATTGACTTCTTTCTAACTATGAGAGTCCCAGATGGCATCTTCTTCTATTAGAAAGCTTCTTTAAAATCTACATTGAAAATCTTGTTTAGGGTAGGCAACTTCAACAATTGTCTTAGGTCTTGTGGATAACTTGCTACAGTCTCTACATCAGCACTTGCTGCTTGACTTTGCACTTTTATGTTATGGAGGTGGCTTCTTTCTTTTTACCTCATTAACTAACCTCTGCTAGCTTAAAACCTTTCTTCATCAGCTTCCTCATCTCTTTAGACTTTCATAGAATTGAAGAGTTAGGACATTGCTCTGAATCTGACTTTGATTTAAGAGACTGTTGTGGCTAGTTTGATCTATCTAGACCACTTAAATTATTATTATATTTGTTATGATGATATGTTATCAATGATCTTTGATGGTACTATTATAAAAGCTTGGGGGCACCATGAACCATGCTCATATAAAATGGCAAACAACAGAAAAAATGTTTCTTTATATCAGCAATAAGGTTGTTTCACGTCCTTATAATTAATGTGCTCACTGGAGTAGTACCTTTAATTTCTTGTGAAAACTTTTTCTCTCACAACGCAGATAACTGTTGCAAGGAGTCTAGCTTTTGGTCTGTCTCAGCTTTTGGCATGCCATGCTCACTAACATTAATGCTTTCTAGCTTTTGATTTAAAGTGAGAGATGTGCACCTCTTCCTTCACTTAACCATGTAGAGGTCATTTTAGAGCTATTAATTTGGACTAATTTCATTAATGTTGTGTCTCAGGGAATAGGGAGGTCTGAGGAAAGGAGGCGAGATGGGAAAACAGGAGTGAAGTTAGTGAAGTCAGATTACACACATTTATTTATTAAATTTGCCACCTTATATGAATGTGAATCTTGGTGTCCCCCAAATTGCAATAGTACCATCAAAGATCACTGATAACAGATCATTATAACAAATAAAATAATAATGAAGACATTAGAAATATTGTGAAAATTACCAAAGTGTGACAGACACAAAGTAGACACATGTTTACATGAAAAATGGTACTGATGGACTTGCCTGATTTGGAAAAAAATTTTAAAAGCACTATCTGAACAATAAAGTGAAGCACAATAAAACAGAGTACTTGTACAATGACTGAAATGAAACATTCAGTAGAAAACGTCAACAGCAACCTCAAATAGACAAATCAGTGAGCTTAAAGCCAAAAAACCCAGTCAGAGAAGAAGAAAAGACCAAACAGAAAAAGAATAAAGGAATCCTATGAAAATTATGGGACCCTGTGAAGAGATCAAACCTTTGAACAACAGGAGCTGCAGAAGAAGGAGAAAAGGGGCCTGAAGACATATGTAAAGAAATAATGGCTGAACATGAGAAAGATACCAACATCCAGGTACCAGAAATATAGAGATTACAATAAAACTCAATCAAAAGAAAAGTTTATCAAGACACATAATAATAAATAATCAAAAATCAAGAAAAAATCTGAGAGCAACAATGGATAAGAAGTATATCACATACAAGGGTGTCCCATTACAACTATCAGCATAAATCTCAGCAAAATACATGTAGGTCAGGAGAGAGTGGGATGATACATTCAAAATGCTGAAGGAAAAAATAAAACCCAAGAATACTTTACCCAGGAAATTCATCTTTTAGCAATGAGGGAAAAGTGAAAACTTTCCTAGGCAAACAAAACCTGAAGAGATTTGTCACCACTAGACCTACCTTACAGGAATTGGTAAAGGGAGTTCTTTAAACTGAAGTAAAAACCTTCTAATTCATAATATAAGACATACAATAGCACAAAAGTTAATGATATAAGTAAAACAGAACAATATGCATGTACTCTAGCACTGTAAAGATGGCACATAAAGCAATTTTATTTCTAATATAATGATTCAAATATAAAACTATTAATTACAATAGTTACAATAAATTTTCAAGGTATATACATTACAAAAATGATGTAAATTCTGACATCAAAAATACAAAATGGAGAAAGAGTAGAAGTGTAAAGTTGTATGTAATCAACATTAAGTTGTTACGGTTTGAAATTGGATGTTATAAGATGTTCTATATAAACCTCATAGTAACCATAAAGAAAAAATCTTAAGTAGTAGCACAAAATGTAAGTAGATAAAATTTAAACTATACCAATACAGAAAACCATCAAAGCACAAAGAAGAGGAAAAAAGAAACAAATAATTTACCAAACAACCAGAAAACAAGTAACAAAATGGTGGTAATAAGTTCTTACTTACCAA